CCTGCTCTGCCAAGCAGCCCCCCAGTATTGATGGTGTTGCCTACCTTTCTAATATTGAACAGGTCCTACATATTCATTGCTTCAGAATACCATTATGATGTACTCTACCTTCTTAAATCTTTAAACCAATTCCATTAGCCCATAAAAAAGTAATCCTTCAGCTGCCTTTTATTAGACCAAAGGATAGGTCCACTTTTGGTGACTGTGCACCAGACCTGGTTTAAACATGCTATGCGTGTATTTTATTTGAGCAAAGCTCTTGTGAGTATATTTTACTTTTGTTTTACTTACCTGTATTTTCTGATTTTATAAAGTAAGTATAAGTTGGTTATGTATTTAAAATAAATGAATAGATATGTGCACTTTTCTGTGCATATGTATGTATGAATATATGTATGTGTGTGAGAAAGAAGGAAAAAAGAAAAGGAAAGAAGGGAGGGAGGAAAGAAGGAAAGGGGGAAGGGAAAGAGAAGAAAGGTTTAAGGAATGACGATCGTTTTTGTCTAGAGAAGAGAAAGGCCGGGCGGGAGAGATTTTGATTGAATATAAGGAAAAGCTTCTTAATCAGCAGATTAAGAGAATATGGAGATGGTCCGAGGCAATAAGGTCATCTCCCAGGGACCGGGAGAGGCTGGAGGAGAAGATGCAGCCTGTGTCCTGGTGAGTTTGGATGGTGCAGCCACCTAGAGGCTGGTCCAGGTCATCGTGTGGGATTCATTCTAACACCATCAGGCATGAATTGAGGGCAGAAATCCTGGTAATGTTCAGAGAGTCAGAAAACCTAAGGGACCTGACAGTCCAGCCCCCTCCACGTGCACATGGAGAAGCAGACGCCTGTGTTGGTGAGGTGTTCCGACCCCAGGGGCTGCGCCAAGAGTGAGAAATGGGAGATCAGAGCAGTCGAGAAAAGGCACATTACCAGGAAGGTTCTGGAAATCCTAAACTGTAATGTCTCAAAAGCTATTTGGCTTCCTAGAACCCCATAATTGCTGTCACTGAGTCACTTTCTCCCAAACTATGCACCCTTTACACTGTCACTTCCTCTACCTACATAATCCTGAGAGTCCATATTGAAAGACAAGGCACACAGGTCAGGGGTGGGGCAACCTGGCTTCACATCGCTCACCAGTTGTGTGACTCTAAGCATGGAAACATAATATTTTTGGATTTTATTTTCTTCAAATGCAAAATATGAGCAATAATGGTAACTGCTTAATGAGATGGTTGTGTGGAACAAATAAGGCCTGGAATGGGCTTACCACATTGCCTGAGACACAGTATGAATAAGAAACGTTTGGGTATTATTACCAATCCAGCAGCACATACCTGTTAAGTAGGTTATCCTGTGCTCATTAGACTGAGAGACATAGACCAAGATGTTCATGGCCAAAGTCAAGTAGAACATTAGGCAAGAATAAATCTTTATTAAGTACGTAACTCCACTTTGGGGTCCAAATGATCCATTCTAAAGTCACCATTCTCCTCTTTGCTTAGGATGGCTCAGTCTCCCTCAGTCTCAGCCCCACGGAGGTGGCACTTCTTCGGAGGAGACCCTGTGACCGAGCCCTGCATGACGACACACAATCACTGCTTTCTGTCTTTGAGTGACACTTGGTCTAATTTAGTACTCCAAAAACCTTTAATTAGTTGAGCACAATCCCTGCTCATCAGCCAAGCCACAGGCCCAGCCCAGGGAATGTGGGCTCCCCACTTGAAATGCCAATAAGGCACAGAGAAGGGTGTAACGCTGGCTTCAAGCCACACTGCTCTACACACACCTCACAGTCACAGTTCTCTGGGAGAGATTTCCTTCCTTGTTTTCATCCCTTTTTATATTGTCCAAACTCTCCTCTAGGCGTCCAGGAGCTAGCCAAAAGCTAGGAGGGTGGGATTAAATAGAGATCCCATATATTGCTTGCGTCAACATAAATGGATCTGGAAAAGCGATAAGCATCACCTTCCTCCGCATTTTTTTCTTTTAATTTTGATATAAATGTAGATTCACATGCAGTTATAAGAATTCACACAGAGAGCTCCTGATTCACATCTTGTATAACCATAGCACAATTTCACAGCCAGGAACAATCCACCAACTGTATTCAGATTTCACCAGTTTTACATGCCCTCGTGTGTGTGTGTGCGTGTGTGTACATGTAATTAGTTCCACATAAACATTGTTATAGCAAGGTACAGAACAGTTCCTCCCTCCCTCCTCCACTCCACCGCTGTCAACCACTAATCTGTCTTCCATCTCTATAATTTTGTCATTTCAAAAATGTTATGTAAATGGCATCATATAGTATATAATCCTCTGAGACTGGCTTTTGTCTCTCAGCAAAATTTCCTTGCAATCTATCCACGTTGTTGGGCATATCAATAGTTCGTTCTTTTTTATTGCTGAGTTATATTCCATCATATGGATGAATTAGTTTCTTTATCCATTCACCCATTGAAGTACATTTGGGTTGTTTCCAATTTTTGACTATTAGAAGTAAAGCTGCTTTGAACAATTTGTATACAGGTTTTTGTAAGAACATATGTTTTTATTTCTCTGGGATAAATGCCCAAGAGTACAATTGCTGGGTCACCTGGTATGCACATATTTAGTTTTGTAAGAAATTGTCATACTGTTTTCCAGAGTGGCTGTACCATTTTACACTCTCACCAGCAATGTCTGAGTGTTCTACTCTCCAGTTCCTCACCAGCATTTGGTGTTGTCATATATTTTTTTTTTAATTTTAACCATGCCAAAAGGTGTGTAGTGATATCTCATTGTGGTTTTAATTTGCATTTCCCTAGTGACTAATGACATTGAATATCTTTTCATGTGCTTGTTTGCCATCTGTATATCCTCTTCAGTGAAATGTATAATCATGTCTTATGACCATGTTCTAATTGGGTTGCTTGTTATTTTACTGTTTTGTTTTGAGAGTTCTTTATATATCCCAGATACAAGTCCTTTGTCACATATTTGGTTTGCAAATATTCTCCTCCAGTATGTAGTCTTTTCATCTTCTTCACAGGGTCTTTTGAGGAGTAAACATTTTTAATTTTAACAGGGTTCAGTTCCTCACTGGATCATCTTTTTTTTTTTTTTTTTTTTGAGACGGATTTGCGCTCTTTCGCCCAGGCTGGAGTGCAGTGGCTTGATCTCGGCTCACTGTAACCTCCACCTCCTGGGTTCAAGTGATTCTCCTGCCTCAGCCTCCCAAGTAGCTGGGACTTCAGGCATGCAAAACCACTGCTGGCTAATTTTTATATTTTTAGTAGATATGGGTTTTCACCATGTTGGCCAGGCTGGTGTCGAACTCCTGACCGCAAGTGATCTGCCTGCCTCGGCATCCCAAAGTGCTGGGATTACAGGCATGAGCCACTGTGCCCGGCCTGGATCATGCTTTTGGTGTCAACTCTAAGATCTCTTTGCCTCGGCCTAGATCCTGAAGATTTTTTCTGGTTTTTTAAAAGATGTTTATAGTTTTATGTCTTACATTTATGTCTGTGATCCATTTTGAATTAATCTTATCTAAGGTATGAGGTTTAAATCAAGAATCAGTTTTTTTGCTTATGGATGTCTAATTGTTCCAGCACCGTTTGAACAACCCCCTGTTGAAAAGCAATTTGGCAATATTTATCATAATCCATAAGAATGTGCATAGCTTTTTTTCCTGTCACTTCTGGGAATTCATCCTAAAAAATAATTCAGGAACATTAAAAAAAAAAAAAAGCTATAAGCTTAGAAAATATTCACTATAACATTTTTTATGAAATTGAAAAATTGGAAGTAATCTAAATACCTAACAATAGGGGACTGGTTAAGTATGCCACACACATGAAATAATATGCAACATTTAAAAATATATTTACTCAATAACTTTCACCCATTCAGCAAATGTTTACTCTGTATCCATATGTGTTGGTGCTGAAGATAACATGGTGAGCAAATTAGACATCATCCCTGCCTTCTCAAAGCTCATAGTCTAGAAGAAAGGATAGAGAAGACAATTCTGGCACTTAGAAAAATAGATTTGCTAAACTAGGGGAAAAAAACAACAAAATTGCATGCACAAGGTTATTGAAACTTTGTTAAAATATATGTGTGTGGGAAAAAAAATCATCATTCTTTAGGGTGATTGGATCAAAGACAGGTTTTTTTCACCCTGCCTTCCATACCTTCCATAGTATTTTCTTTTTATGATAATAACAGCAGTAAAGAGCAAAGCTTCAATTGCAAAATAGCTTCTTGCCATGAAAAGGTTAGGAATGTCCATTTGAAGAGGCGGCAGGCTCCCGTACAGCAATCCAAAGGGCATGGAAAAGGCCACAACAGACAGTGAGGTAGCTGGTGCCCAGCTAAGTCATGTTGGATTATTCAGTCCATCAGCAAGTATCCACAGAGCATCTGCAAGGTGACGGGTATCCCATGAGGCACTCAGAATGTGTGTTTAAGAATAGACAGTCCCTGAGCTCTAGGGGCACTTATAAGAAATTCTGATCTTCGTCTTTCTCATGCTTGCCTGGTCCTTCACACCTCACAATGTGCTACCAAGTATACGCCCTCATACAATACTCACAACAAACCTGTAAAGTTGTCAGGAAGAATATAATTATCCCCATTTGTTAGACACTAAGGCATAGAAAGCTTAATTAACTTGCCCAAGGTCACACAGATAGTAAATGACAGGCCCGGGACTTGGACCTGGCCTTCCATCACTAAGGCCAGTGCTGTTCTCAGAATCCCATAACTGCCTCAAGAAAGCTGTGATAACAGAGGGCTCAGAGCAAAGAAACAGTCAGCAGAGAGTCATCACTAGAACTGAAGTCACGGGGATGAGAAGGCACTGCCTACCGCTTCTGGGCCTTCTGGCCAAGATCAAGTGTAGGAAGCATGAGCTAGGGCAGGGGATGGGCTCCCCTCCCCTGGGGTAGTGGGGGCCGGGGGTCCAGGCAGTGAGGGGAATGGGATGCAAATACCTGGGCTCACCTCTCCTCCCTCTCCACAGATGGTGAAGGCAATCCAGGTCCTGAGAATCCACCTGCTGGAGCTGGAAAAAGTCAATGAACTCTGCAAGGACTTTTGTAACCGTTACATCACCTGCCTCAAAACCAAGATGCACAGTGATAACCTGCTCAGGAATGACCTAGGGGGGCCCTACTCCCCCAACCAGCCCTCCATCAACCTTCACTCACAGGTAACACACAGATCTGGGTCCCATCTCTTAAGCCAGGCTCCTAAGCCCAGCTCTGGAGCCAGGCGTGGAGGAAGGTCCCCTGGTGACCTTCATTGGGTTAGACTCACTGGATTCCTTTGCCATGAGGGCCCTCCTCTGGTGCATTCCTCTTCATATCCATCAGGACACCCAATCCCTTTTTTACACACACTCTGCCCTGCCAGGGCATTAGTATTCCCTTGAAAATGACTAGATCGGAGAGGGATCCAAAGTCATTCCTGGCTTCCTGGCCCAAGGTATCCCCCAGAATGAGCACCAGTGCTAAGGAGATGGAAACTCTCCTGGAGGATGAGCTGGGACTGGGCTTAGACATCCCAGCCCCACAAGCTTCTTAAGAGGCTGTGGCTTGCTGAGCCATCTGCGTTTCTGGCAACGGGCATTTGGGGAAAGCAGTCATTCCCTGAATCCTGCCCACCTAATGGGTGAAGCCAGCGTCCCATGGGCCTGCTGCTCCCTCATCATTCTCCAGGCATTCACGCTACTCTGGCATCTCTGTCCCCCTAAGGTTCAGGGCCATGGTCAATGTCACCTCAAACCACCCTGTTCCCAGGTTCCCCTGCCACCTCCTTCCTGAGACCTGGGAAATGCAGAAATGCTGACTACACACTTTGGGCAAGAAGGGGCTTTCCCCTCCAGGGCAGGATATTTTCCCCAAACCTACAAACCAAGAAAGCTGCCTGGCAATACCTTCCCACCCAACTCATGGGCATCTGCGTACGCCACAGGCTTGAGACTTTGTTTCCCTTCCACTGAGCGCCCGAGTCCTGGAAGACACCTGGAGAGTCCCCAAGGAGTCCTCCATAGCCTCTTCTCATTAAACAGTCAGGCACGGGGATGCAGGTAAACTTTCTAGAAGTGAGTGCCGAGAGGTGCTGGAAGTAGTCCCAAAGAAAGACTGTGACATTTTTGTCCCTAAACCCCTAGGGAACCACCCACATACTCTGTCTCCCCAGATTGGTAGAGTCAGGGGAGGGGACAGGCTGCTTCTAGAAGGCCAGCCTCGCTTTGCACATCTTGAAAACAAGCACAAAAGATACACTCGGTATCACATCCAACCCACCCCAGTGGGCTCTTTGTGAGACTCGGTAGTGAGTACTGCCCAGGACGTAGGGCAAGAAGTTTACTTCCTCTTCCTCTTGCTTGAAATCACCAAGTCACTTTATTACAGATCTAAAAACACCCGCCCAGGCTTCTGCCTGCTAATATTCTCTTGAAATAGACTCATTCCTTCAGAGTCTTATTGTACTTTCCCTTATGATCAAAATTAGCAAGAAACTTGCATAAAAGAGGACAATAATTGCTCAACGAGCATCTCGTTTGTAATTTATTAGTTTCTATTATTGTGGGTTACCATGGTGACGCTGCGCAGTCCCGGTGATGGGAGAGATGCAAGATAGGAGCTGAGGAGGCTGTGAGGCCTCGCCAAATGGAGATGCACATTTTTATCAGTAATTTTCATGAAAATAATAAGTGAGGAGTTAATGAGATGGAAAGCCATCCTGTGGCTATTGTGAATTTTTTTTAAGTGTTGATCTAATTAGAATGCATCGGTCAGGAAAAGTAATGAGGATTTAGTGCCTCACAGAGATGTGAGGATCATATCAGAAAATTAGCACAAGTCTTTGGAAATAATCAGGTCCTTGGAGAGGCACTGGATTTCCCCTCCTGGGCCCTCCAACTCCACCTCGGGCTCTGGAGCTGGGGGTGCACCAGGGTAGTGGGGGAAGGAAGGAGGGGCAGAGGGCTTAGCAGCCACCTCAGCCCCCACAGGGTTGGAGGTCTGAGACTGACAAGTCAGTCTGCAGAAACAGGGTCACTGGAGAAGTGGGGTTTGCAGAAAAGGATAACGTGGGCTCTGGATGGCGAAGGTCTCAGAGATGCCGTCACCTGCAAAAATCAGTCCCCCTGGGGAATCCCAGCACTCAGTCTTCTGAGCTTTGAGGAAAGGGGAAAGAATTTTGATTCCTATCACTGGACGCATCAGATCTCTGCCTGGAAGTGAAGCTGGCCCCGGGGTAGCCACTGCAGAAGGGCCCTTGATCAGCTGGGAAAGAGGAATCAGACAATTGGGCGGTGGGGGGTAGGGGATGCGAGGCACTGAGAAAGAGAAAAGACGCTTAGTGAGGTATTCCTACTTGGTATTACTCAAACTCATCCCTGCGTTTTCTGTGACTGCCACTGCCTGCTTTGTTCTGGCTTCAGGGGTAAATACAGTGATTACACATAGGCTATGGCAGGAGCTTCCTCACCTGCTCTCCTGGCCATCCCTCAGCCCACCTGCACACCCACGCATCTCTTAAGCCTCTACTGCTCAGAAACCCTGCTTGCCATGTCCCTGGGGGTGGGAGGGAGGGCCTTCACTTCTGTTCACCTGACATTCAAGGCCCTCCTAGGTCTGGCTTCAGCCTTCCTGGCTGGGCCAATCTGACTGCTTGAGGTACTGTGACCATCATTCCATGCCTGTCTGTTTGGGTGACACCTCCCCCCCAACCCCATCATCTCTGCACAACCAAACCCAGCTTCTTCCCCATGGGTAGGAACAAGGCTGCTCATCCAGGAGGCCTCCCTGATGCGCCATCCAGAATGGACGCTTCCTGCACTCCACTAATTACGGCAGCTTGCTGAGCCATCGATACAGCAAGAGTCACTGTGACTTTATATTATAGATGCCTGTGTTCATCTCATTTTCCTATCCTAGATAACACTTTTTGAGCAGAGACAGTATTTTACATGTTTGAAATCACCAAATCACCTTATTATAGACCAAAAACAGCCATTCCCAGCCTCTGCCTACGGATAGTCTCTTGAAATAGACTCATCCCTTCAGAGTCCTAGTGTACTCTCCCTGTGACCCCAGCAGTGGCTACCACAAGGTCTTGTGCAAGATAGATGGCCGGGAAGTATTTACTGAAATAAATAATGAAATGAGAGAGAGAAAGTTGGGGGGCCAGGGGCAAGGGGAAGCCAAAGGAGGAAAGGAGAAATAGGAAGAAAAATAAAGGGAAAGAAAGCCAGATATGCAGGGCCAACATTCAGGAGGGAGGTAGAGACAAGCTGAAGAATTGGAGGAAAAGAGCAACAGTTTCACAGGGAGACACACAAACCCAGGAAAAGGGAGACGATACTGAGAATGACGGGGCAGAAGGACGGACGGAGAGGGGAACAGCAGCAAGAGTGAGAGCAAGTGAAAGGACAATGGATGTGGCTCAGTATGCAGCCAGGGTACCAGGAGGCGGGAAAGTCAGTAGGATGTGCTATGTGCTGCTCCTATTGTATTACTCAAACTTGGCCCTGCATTTTCTCTGACTGCCACTGCCTGCTTTGCTCAGGCTTAGGGGGTAAATGTGGTAATTGCACATAGACTATGGCGGGAGCTTCCTAACCTGCTCTCCTGCCTTCTCTGGCCATCCCTCGGCCCGCCTGCACACTCACACATCTCTTAAGCCTTCCCAGGACAGGCCCCTGTCATTGTCGCACTAAGGTAGGGGCGGGGACTTGCATGGGCTCTCCCAGGAAGGAGAGGCCCAGGGCTGCTAAGAATCAGGGACCAGAGACTTTCAGTATAGGAGGCAGGTCTTGGGTTCAAGACATAGGAGCCTTTACGGGAGAGGAGAGAGAAAAGGAGCTTGTGTGTGTGTGTGTGTGTGTGTGTGTGTGTGTGTGCGTGCACACGTGGGCACATGCATTCGTCATGGTTCACCCTTAATCCCCCTGGCCTGAAATAGCCTCACTGAGCACCAGCCTGGCCTGGGGAGGGGTATCTCCCCTCTGGAACATGATCCTCTGGATCAACATTCCAGCCGCCTGCCAGCTTTGTTGCAAACTGCTGGCTCATGGTTTTCCCTGTGTGCTAATCATCCAGCCTTGTGTTGCAAAGCAGGAGACATTTTTGTTTTCAACTTGGTACCCCCACTCCCAGATGCTATGCTGTGTCCTTCATCTAGATGGATGGGTTGAGTGTTTTCCTGCTTGGCCTTCTATTTCTCTGTGTGAGTCTTCTCTGCTGGTCGGAGTGGAGGTGGGAAGTAAGGGAGAGTGTCCTACCAAGCAGGGGACTAAAGCAGACTTTCAAAGACCGGGGCCACAGCTAGATTTTCCCCTCCCTAGGAACCCATCCTGTGCTGCAGGCGCCCAGTGACACCCAGGCTTCCTACTCCTCAGAGCCCAGGCTTCTTGTCGGGGCAGCATCCTGTGTAAGGAGACTGGTTCTAGACCTGACTCTGGGTTCTCCTGTCCTTCCTAGAGGGCGCAAACAGAACTATTCCACCAGAGAGACCTTAACTCCCGCCTCACTGAAGTATTAGTTTGATCTGAAATTCATCCTTTTTTCTCTGTGGAGATTTAAGCCTCAGCTCTATTCCAGGCAAATTGGATTGAATCATGGTTCTCATTCAATCGCCAAGCATTTGGGGGGCACTCACTGTATGCACTGTGCTAGGTCCTGTAAGAACAGACACAAGCCCTTGTCCAAGAGGAGCTCCCAGTCTCAGGGGGAGACAGCCATGAGTCACAATGAGGATCTAGATAAATCACGTCAGCCTTGAAATGCTCAGGGTCAAGAGTATAGAGGAAAGGAGCAGCCAAAGAGATGGGGAGAGGAGCTGCAAGCAGGGATTCTGGATTGGGCGATCCACACGTGTGGCTTGAGGTTGCCCCAGTCTCTACTCAGCACCCTTCATCCTTCCTCAGAGAGGGACCAAGTCCCAGACTCAGCCCTCACACCTTCATGGCCACTTTGTTCCTGCTCCACAATAGGATAAACAAACCTCAGTACAGAGTGGAGAGGCCAACAGGAGGATTTCACCCATTATTTTTGGAGAAGTTACAGATTCATTGGCCTTGGGAGGGCTTCCTGGGGGAGGTGGCATTTCAGGCAGGCTTGGCGAGAGTTGGTAGACTATTTGGCAGCCTTTATAAAGGTGAGTGTTTCCAGTGTAGCAAGAAGTCTGGAAGAAGGCGAG